TAGGGACGGCGGAGCCCCGTGGAACATCACGCCAAAATCATGAGTACTGCTGTGTCACGGCGTGGGGTCCTGCAGAAGGGCCGTGATCTCCTCAAGGCCCCCCTTCCCGTGCCAAGTTGGCCCAAAGGCACCCTCAAATTCTGCCCCGCCACATCTTTGATGACATCATATATTTGGGAGGCTGCTTTTTATGTCCTCTTGGTCACTTCTTGCTGGTCACTCAGACCCCCTGGTTTCCCGGACCACTCCTGGGTCCGGCTCTGCAATGGGTGCTTCCGGGGCACCCTAGGCTTATGGGCTATGCGTGGCTCCAACCACCCCTTTACCACGTCCTATGCCTCGCAGATGGAATAGACGTTGTTCTGTCCTGGCCTTATTATAATCGGGCCCCTTGTCCTCTCTGGGCCCTACCTCTTTTGATCTGCGCCCTCTCTGGCGTTAGGGCTCTTCACGGCCCTGACTCACTCTGTGCCCTCCTCTGGGCCTTCTCAATAATGCTACGCTCTCTCTGGGGCTCTTCCACAATAATGCTGCCCTCTCCCTGGGGCTTCTCAAAGTGCCGACCCCTTCTCTGGGGCTTCTCATCCATGCCCCTCTCTCTGGGGCCTCTCAACTGCCCCCTTTCTGGGACTGGGGTCAGTGCACCCCGACTACTGTACCCTTACTGGTGCTGGGGTCCCCACACTGCTGTGGGTCCCCTATGAGGCCTCCTCCAACCCCTAATAGCCTCACCCCAAACCACCGGTAACAAACAGCAACACAAATGCAAGCCCCTTGGCTATAACATAAACTGAAGCCACCCGGCTAAAACCACATTACTCAAACATCCCAGGGATGTTTAAACTGCATGCCCGCAGTTTAAAAGGGCCCGCCGACTGGGAAAAAAATCCCAGTTAGGCTCGGAAGTGGCGAGAGACGCGTGGGTGAAATCTCGCTGCACCCCCGCTCCCCCGAAGCCCCCCAGAAGCCCCCCAAAAACCTCCAGCAGCCGCGGAGCCCCCCGCCGACCCCCAGCACACCCGGGGCACGT